GCTCCCGGAGCCGGCGTGGTGGCGGGCAGGAGAAGCACGCGCCGGGGCCGCGGGGATGCAACAGGAGGACTGGGCACCGACTTGGCGCACGCAGGCCCGCGCTTGTACGGAGCAGTGGCCTGTTTGCGGGTCCAGCCCGGTGCGCAGCACGCACCACTGCTTGAGGTCACCGAGGCCCAGAAGCTCCTGCGCGGAATCCTCCGATCGCCGATGAAGCGGTCCCCATATCGTGTCAATCGTGATGGGCGCGCACCTCCATGCGCACGCCATGGCGTTCGTCAGATGAGAGGTCGGAGTAGGAGAAGGCGGCGACCACATGGCAGAGCGGTAGAAGGAATTGGGGGGAGGTGAACAGCCTTATGGAGTCCCCAGAGCTCCCCGTCGTTCATGGCCTTATCAGTCGGACAAAATTGCGCCACATGTGACAAGCAAGTGAACAACGCGGAGTTGTACCACCGTGAGGCTACATCGGCAGACGACTGTAGTTCGCCGAATTCCATACGTCTAACACTCGACTGAAGTGCGGCGACCCGCCATTCGTCAGCACGAATGGCCGCAAGGCACTGCCAGGTCACTAGAGGTTTGACCTTCCACCAGATTTGAGAAGAGGCCAAACTGGGAGCCCACAGTCGCAGCTGCGCGCGGAGAAGCTCGACGAGTGTCCGGGGCAAAGGGAGGCACAGAGGGGGACAAGCACGCCTCTGTTTGGCAGGGAGTTGGAGGCATGCCACCTGCCGCAGCTTCCAAACGTCGGGCTCTAGGGCTCGCGCGCTCTCGAGCCTGCGCAAGACCGTGCCGATATCATCCACGCGTGCCCCGAGTGTCCCGAGGAGGGGGAGGAGGAAGAAGAGCAGGAGGAGGAGGAGGAGGCGGAGGAGGAGGAGGAGGCGAGGATAGGACTGAGACCATAGTGCTGCATCAAAATGAGAACCCAACACAGGATGGTTGGCAAATACAGACAAATGCAGCAGGCAAGAGGAAAGAGTGGAGAGAGTGGGCGGGAGAAGGTTGCGCGAGCAGTGCTCCACTCAACACGATAACCCAACACAGGAGGGTTTGAACAAAAACACAATCAAAGCGGGCACGCCTTCAATGAAGTGCGGATCGAAGAGGAGTCTTCAGCGACAGCCGCACTCCTGAGAAAATTGCGAGGATATCTCAAGCGTCTGCCGCTGCCCCCCTTCAACAAAGGGGTTCATGAGCAGGGTCTGGGATCCAAACGGTGCCAGAGCACTCGTGGGAATTATTCCAACGGCAAGAACCATTGAGAAATGCAGCCAGGAAGCCAATGCACCTCTGATGCGCCCGTCTGCACCGATGCACTTGGCAGGGCTGAGCTGGACCGAACCAGGACAGGCTAGACTTCGCAGGACCGAACTGGAGTGAGCTGACCTGAGCAGGGCTGAGCTTGACCGAGCTTCGCTGAGTTCGTCTCAACTGGGCTGGCACCAGCTGGACGAAGCTGGACCGAGCTGGACCGAGCTGGGTGTGAGCAGATGACTTGTACAAGCATGGGGCGCCCTCGAACCCGACCCAGGCCCATTCCGGTGCACTCCTGGGGATACTGGGCAGCCCCAGGAGGCACAAGAAGGCCCCAGGCGGCCGCAGGCAGCTGCAGGTGGCTCCAGAACCCCCCAGGACGCCTCATTCGGGACCCTGGATTAGTGGGCAAAATCAAACCCCCACCCCCGATCCCGTCACCCAGGGCGCCCTCCAGCAAAACGCGCGCAGGTCTCCAAGTGGACCTGCGCACGGGCGGCGGGGCAGGACTCCCAGGACCCCGCAGGTAGCTACAGACGTCTCCAGGAAGCTTCCGGAAGGCCCAGGCCGCCACGAGAAGCCCGTGCGGAAGGCCCCAGGAGCCCCGAGAGGCCGTCGGAGCGTCCAAACGATAGCCCAGCGAGGGACCTGCAGGACCGCCCAGGAAGCCCCACTTGAGCATGGACTGACCGTCCCGGCATGCCCATGGTCCTACCACGAAGTGTTCCTATAAAACCCAAAAATGTTCCAGAAACCACAACAATGTTCTCATAACATGAACCCGATGTGTGAAAACAAAACACTCCCAACCAGAAGTGTTATGATAACATTGTGTGGAAATCCCAAAGAGTTCTTAGAACATTGCTTGGTAGGGCTATAGTTATGTTTCCATCCGACTTAAGGACCACATCCCATAAATAAATTCGAGCAAACCAAAAAAAAAGTCAAATGAGTGTCGAGACAGTGTCGGGCGAGTGTCTCCCAGGGCCCGGCACGTGAAAACCCTTGAGTTTGGCAGTCTTTTCTGGGCGTTCGACATTCCTCCTGGTGATCAGGGCTACAGTAGGTTGGAGCATCATGAACCTTGGGGCCATCCTGGCCCGTCTTCGTTCGGCTACACGCAAGAGTGACCCCGGGTAAGAGTGGCCTTTGGTGCGCGGCTTTTGGGGGGCCGCGAGGGGGCCAACACACAAGCGCGCAAGACGCCACTGCCGCCTCGCGTCCGGCGATCGGGGGGGCCCATGTGGCCCGCACCTGAGGTCACTCCGGCGAAAGGTCAGTCTTGCGTCTAGTCGACTCGTGGAAACCACGAAGAGTTCTCAGAACATTGTTCGGTAGGGCTATGGTGAAGTCGGGCCTCCCCCTACAGGGGGATTTTCGACGAAACATAAAACATACGCCCAACCAAAATCCAATAATAGTCTGGGAACGATTTGGGGAATATGTTTTGACCATTTTGGGGGCACTTTGGGGGAATTTTTGAAATTTTTCGTCGACAATCCCCCTCTGTAGGAGGACAGGCCCGACCTAGCGCTACAGGCGAGCCAGGACGCCTCGCCACTGCTTGACCCACAGAGGGCCCCGCCAGGAACCCAGGGCAAGGGCCCACTCTTACGTCTAGTCGGCGCGTGGAAACCACATAGAGTTCTCTGAACATTATTTGGTTGGGCTGTAGGCGAGCCAGGGCGCCTCGCCACTGCTTGACCCACAGAGGGCCCCGCCGGGAACCCAGGGCAGGGGCCCCTCTTGCGGAAGCTCCGGGGGGAGTCCAAACGGGGAAGAGGCCACCGTGCGGCCCCGGGGTGCCCCGGGGAAGACCCACGGAACGCACTCCAGGAGGGGATCGGGGGATGCTTTCGACCAGCTCTCGATGAGGGAATAAGTATAATAATCAGAATAATAATAATCATCATAATAATAATAATAATAATGGTAAACATATTATTAATATTAATACTAGTACTTATCATAATGATAATGGTACTGCTAATAATAAAAACAATAATAATAAATGCGGAAATAACAAAATAAACAAATAATAGTATTAATAATCTGATGATAACGATACTAAAGAATAATCACAATAATACTACTAATAATAAGAATGCTAATCATAATCAGGGCTCCACAGCGCGCCGACGGCGCGCTGCAGCCCTTAGTTCGTCGTCCTGTTGAAGTCGACGAGCGGGTCCTCCCTGTTTTTGCGTTGGGCGGCTCGTGGGATCCCCTCCTCCCCCGCCGTCTGCACGATTACACAACACGATTACTGCTCTCCTCTCTCCACCTGGCGGCGTTCGGGGAAGGTGTGGCCCCCCTCCGCATACTTGCTTGCTACACACCAGATTCTCGGGAGTTGGGTGTTCGCTGGAATTGCTTCTCAAAGGTGCTGCTCTCGCCGACACGCTGGCCGCATGTTCGGGCTACCGCTCGTTCCGAATCGTGCTCCCGCTGCAGCGCTGGCCTCATTTCTGCGTTTCCGCTCCTTCCGAATCGTGCTCCCGCTGCAGCGCTGGCGTCATTATTTCCAGCGCCATGCCCTGGCATGGTTTTCGGTCCTTAGGCCCCAAAATCTAGACAATGGCCTCCCCAAGAAACCATCGGAAGTGATTCCACATTCGGTGTCGATTCGTTGATTTTCTGGGCCGCAGAAGCCCCCACATTGGGGCGTCGCCACGCCATGCTATGTCAGGCTACGCGTTGATCTTCGATACCATGCTATGCCATGGAATGCTATGCCCTGCCGGGACATCCCATTGAGCGAATAGAAAAGAAATCTACGCCATGGTAAGGGATGGGAGGGAGAGAGCGGTAGGACATTAGGCATGACGCGAGCGCACCTAGCTTGTCCTCCCCCTTTTCCTCCTCCTCCTCCTCCTCCTCCTCTTCCTCCTCCTCCTCCTCCTCCTCCTCCTCCTCCTCATCCTCCCCCTCCTCCTCCTCCTCCTTCTCCTCATCCTACTCCTCCTCCTCCTTGTCTTCCTCCACCTTCTTCTCCCACTCCTCCTCCTCCTCCTCCTCATCCTCCTGCTCCTCCTCCTCCCCCTCCTCCTCCTCCTACGACTACGACTACGACTACGACTACGACTACGACTACGACTGCGACAACGACTACGACTACGACTACGGCTACGACTACGACTACGACCACGACTACGACTACGACTACGACTACGACTACTACTACTACGACGACGACTACTACTACCACTACTACTACTACTACTACTACTACTACTACCACTACTACTACCACTACTACTACTACTACTACTACTACTACTACTACTACCACCACCACCACCACCACTACTACTACTACTACTACTACTACTACTACTACTACTACTACTACTACTACTACTACTACTACTACTACTACTACTACTACTACTACTACTACTACTACTACTACTACTACTACTACTACTACTACTACTACTACTACTACTACTACTACTACTTACTACTACTACTACTACTACTACTACTACTACTACTACTACTACTACTACTACTACTACTACTACTACTACTACTACTACTACTACTACTACTACTACTGGTCCTCCTCCTCCCGCAGGACGGTCCCGACAGCCACAGGGGGGGCCCCGAGAGCTCCAGCAGACTCGCGCGGCTGCGCGAGAGGAGGCCGCAAGAGAGGCGCTGGGCAGGCTGCGCCGGGGCCGGCCGATGGCGCGCCGGCCGGCCCCGCCCGTGTGCCGCAGAGGGAGGCGCGCCGCCTTGCACGTCTGCCCGACGATGCCGCGGGCGTGGACGGCCGCAGACACCTGCGGATGACATGGGGCAATGTCCCACCGCCACTACCATGGGCAGGAGAGGGAGGAGGAGGAGGAGGAGGAGGAGGAGGAGGAAGAGGAGGAGGAGGAAGGAGGAAGGAGGAGGAGGAGGAGGAAGAGGAGAAGGACGACCTCCTCATCCTCCTGTCTCCCCCGTCCTACATGTGGCAGCGGTCGTGGAAAACGGGCCCATCAGCGCAGGCAGCCGGAGGGCCGCCCGCCCGCCAGGCCGATGCAGCGCGCCCGCCCGCCCGCGAGAGGCTCCCGCGGCTCGTCCGCTGCGCCGGGCGGTCGTGCTGCTCTCGCCGCGTGTCGCGGCATGCCCCTGCTCCGGATACAGTCGGGGCGTTGACCTAAGGAACCCTAAATAAGGAACGAGGCCCCTTCCATCCCCAATTTAAGTTTCGATTCCCCATCGAAAACCTTGGGAAAACCTGAGGCAAGCTGCGAAACAATTGAGGAACACGGAGCCCCTCCCCAACGAAAAGGGTTCCTTCTTCAGGGCCCCGACGGTATGACGCGCGCCGCTGCCGGCTGATTCGGTGCAAGCTCTGCGTGGCGGCACGGACAGTCTCTGGGCCAGCCTTCGGCGCTGACGAGGAGTTTCGGGGATGGGCAGGGCCATTCGCCTTGTCCGCCGTGGAACCGCATCAGGATGGTAATATTACCTCTCTCTATATATAGCTGTCTACCTGTCTCAGAGCCTTCCAATCGGAAAACCTGCAGGATAAGACTAGCTATGTCACGAACTTGGTGATCTACCAACCCCACTAGACATACAACCAACTAGCTGTTCAACATGTTTGTGCATCGAGCCATGCGCTATCTCTGGAATGGCCGTTCGGCCCATCCCGCCACCGTGCCTGGGTTGTGGGTCAGAGTTCTCAGAGATGCTCCTTGGGGTCTCTTCGGAGCGCTCTCGGAGGCCTCTTGGGGGCAAATTTGAAGCCTCTTGGGAGTCTCTTGGGGGCCTCTTGGGGGCCTCTTGGCGGCCTCTTGGGGGGCTTCTGGGGGGCCCTCGGGGCCGAGGGCTCGAAATGTCCACTCAGGTCCCTCATCTGGGAACCCCTCTTGGAGCCGTCTTTGGGCCCTCTTGGGCCTTCTTGGGCGCCTTCTGGGCCGTTTTAGGGCCCTCTTGGGCCGGTTTGGGGCCCTCTTTGGGGTCTCTGGGCTGGGGCTGTCTTGGGGCGATCTTGGAAGCCTCTTGGGCCGTTTTGGGCGGTCGGGAAAGCGAAAAAGCGAGAACCCAAAAAGCCTTCAAACAGAAATTGGGGCTGTGTTGGGAGCCGTCTTGGAGGCCTCTTGGAGCATCTTGGAGGCTTGGCCGTCTTGACGCCATCTTGGACGCCTCGCTCGGGGACTCGAGGCCCTCACGGATTGTCTTGGCGGCCTCTTGAAGCCCTCTTGGCCAGTCCTGGGGACCTCTTGGGCCCTGAAAAAAAGCGCGCGACGAGACTGAAGGGGGCCTGGGACACACAAAGAAATACACACAGATAAAAGGATTCTCCCCATTTTCCCAGATGTTCTGGGCTTCTCTCTTCCCCCCCACTTCCCATATTTTCTCATATTTTCTGGGGAGTCGACGATTGATTGTGTCTGTGTGTTGTTTCCCCTCCTGAAAGGCGCCGGCAACCCCGGGAGCACGCGCCAAGGTCCCGAGGGCACGCCCATGCCGTGACCGGAAGGGCACGGTGGCGGAGACCGCTATCGGCACAGACCCACAGCGAGGCGTGATGCATGCAGTGGAGGTCCGACCACAAGAAACCTGCCACAAGAAACCCAACCCTGGGACCCCAGGGCGTCCACTGAAGTTCGGTGTGGGGACGTCACGCTTTCCATCGCAGAACCATCGAAACCCACGAAACCCAGGGCACCCTGGAGGCAAGCAGGGTGTTTCTTGGCATGGGCCTCCACTGTACACTTTTTTGATCCGCGGGTCGAGAGCGCACCTCGTCCGGTCGAAGCTGAGCGGGCCGCGCGAAGCTTGAATCAGGCGGAGAAGAGGAGGGGGGAAGCGGCGGAGCCTCAGAGCGAGGCCGAGAGGAATAAACGTGATGCATACACGCAGGCATCCCTCAGACTTATCCGCAGCCTCGCCAGCCTGTGCAGGATCGTTGTCCTGCGCGCTGCTCCTGCCAGTGCCTAATAATCACCCACCGTGCCCATGGGCACGGAGTGGGCGCGTCCTCAGGCCTTTTGCATCATCATCTAAGCCTCAGTCCTCCCTCCTGCGGAGTTTTTAAGGGGCCCGTACCCCAAATCCCACCAGCCCTCTGGGCGTATGTGGTTTAGGGAGTTTCCTCTTCCGACCCCCTTCTTCCCCTTCGGGGAAGGGGTTCACCCCTCCCCCTACCCCCTCCCCTGGACCTGGACGGGGGTGGTCGCGAGGGGTTCGAGCGTCTAAGAGATGGCCCAAGATGTCTCCAAGAGGGCCTCGGAGAGCCCAAGATGACCTCCAAGATGGCTCAAGATAGCGCAAGATGCGTCAAGATGGCTCTCAAGACGCTCCAAGAGGCCCCAAGAACGCTCCAAGACGGCTTCAAGAGGCCTCCGAGACTCCTAATGAGGCGTCCAAGAAGCCCAAATCCTTTAAACACCTAAGAAACATAAATGATTTGTGCCTTCTCGAATTTTCGCTTCCGATGGCTATCCGAGGCCTCAAGATGGCTCCAAGATGGCCCAAGAGGGCCACAAGAGGGGCCCCAGAGAGGCCCAAGACGGCCCCAGGAGCGCCCACGAGCGCTCCAAGAACGCCCCAAGAGGGGTTCAGGAGGCGATGTTTGGCGTTCTGGAAGGGCAGCGCCCATTAAGGAATCCCCCTTCTTTGATCGATCTCCTCCAAGATGGCCCCAAGAGCGCCCCTAAAGCTCCCAAGAGCGTCCCAAGAGGGCCCCAAGGGGCGCCCTGACGGCCCCAAGAGGCCTCCGAGAGGCTCCCAAGAGACCCCCGAGAGGCCACCAAGAGGCTTCAAGAGGACTCCCGAGGCACCCAAGATGCCCCCCAGACGCTCCAAGAGGCCTGCAAAAAACTAGCAAGAGACATCCGAGGAGGCTCTAATGTTCGTCATTTGTTGTTGTCCTCCTCATCCTTCTCCTCCTCCTCCTTCTCCTTCTCTTCCTCATTGTCCGCCTCCTTCTCCTCCTCCTTTCCCTTTACTTTTCAGCCTACTCCTCCTCATCCTCCTCCTCCTTTCCTCTCCTCTCCCTCCCTCCCCCACATCCTCTTCCCCCTCCTCCTCCTCCTCCTCCTCCTCCTCCTCCTCCTCCTCCTCCTCCTCCTCCTTGTCCACTTCCTCCTCCTCCTCCTCCGCCCCCCCCCCTCCGCGGCGAAAGCAGCAAGGACAGAGTCGACGACAGTGAAGACGAAGACGGCGATGACGACGGCGGCAGCGGCGGCGGGAAAGAGGGGCGGAAGTCGGAGCAGCAGCAGCAGCAGCAGCAGCAGCAGCAGCAGCAGCAGCAGCACCAGCACCACCACCACCAGCAGCACCCGCAACAGCAACAGCACCAACAGCAGCACCCGCACCATTCGCTGCCAGAGATCTCCCAACCCACCGCTGCTGCCCACGCTGCTTCACGACGCGCGTCCCTTCCTCCCTTCTCCGGCCAGCTGTCCTGGACATCGCTTCTGCATGGACTGGTGGGCATACTTTTTTTTATCGCAGCCGCAGGCGAAGGCGCCGGCGGCGAGCCCCGTCGGCTCGGGCCACGAGCGGGGCTACTTGCCGTCGCGCGCGCAGACGGCAGGATCGGACCTGCCGTCGAGGGGGGGAGCGGCTGCGCCGCGGGGAGCGGCCGCCGCAGCTGCCGAGGCCCCGAGAAAAACACAGCGCCAGGCGGGCGGGGGCGGCGCGCCGCTGGGGCTGCCAGGAGGCTGCGCGAACGTGCGGGCACCTCGGGTGCTGCATCGCCAGGCGCGCGAGAACTGGACCTCGTCGAAGGGTTTTTGTTTGCACTCCTTCGTTCAAGTGAGGGCGGGGGGGGCACGACTTGTTGCCCCTCCCGGCGGCAGAAGCAGCAGTCATCCAACACAGGGGTGTTGTTGAGAGATCGTCGCTTGCATGCATGACCTCGTCGCCGCAGGGCGCCCCGCGGTCGGCGCGCCGAAGACGCGGCGAGGCGCAGGACGGCGCGACGGCCCCGCGCGTGGCAGCGGACCGGCGGGGGACGCGCGCGGTCGTTCAGGGGAAGGCCGAGCCGCTCCCGAGTGGGCCGGCGGCCCAGGACCCCGGAGGGCCATCAGCACCCACAGGCACGGCCAGCTGTGGCGGTGCCTGTGGACCAGAAGCCAGGGAAGTGCAAGCACTCGCGCTGGAGGGGCCGGTGGGGATACGTTTTTTTGATTGCGAGTGGCGCGGAGGCAGCCGCGCACCGTCAAAGGGTCGGGCAGCACAGGGCCAGGGCGCACGGCGCAGCTGTCGCCAGCGAGACGCAGGAAAAGAGGGCCACGATGGTGGCGAAAACTACCAGGCAATGCGCAGCGGCAGCGCGGCAGGGGCGAGGGCGAAAGGCTGGTGGGGATAATTTTTGGTCAACAGGCTCGCGAGGCGGGTCGAAAGCCGTCCGAACACTAGTCTGGTGGGGATACGCGAAGGAGTCAAGAATTCTCGAATCAATCGGGGCTTTGCGCGTGCCTAGGTCGTCTCGTCGTGTGGCGTCTTCGGGCCCAAGAGGGCCCCCAGACAGCGATCGCTCCAAGACGCTCAAGGTGGCCCCCAAAGCGCCAAAGAGGCCTCCAAAAGGCGTCCCAGGAGAGCAGCAAGAAGCCAGAATCATTGCTATCCCGTTGGTTTTTGAAGGTTCTTGGCTTTCACGCCTTTTCGACTTCCCGACGCTTCCAGACGGCCCCCTAGATCGCCCCAAGACGGACCTAGGGGCCTCCAAGGGAGACCCAAAACGGCCCAAGAGGGCCCCAAGACGGTCCCAGAGGCGCCCAAGATGGCCCAAGAGGCCCGCAATGAGGGGGGCCCAGGTGGGGGGACCCGAACGGGCATTTCGAGCCCTCGGCTCCGAAGGGCCCCCAGAAGGCCCCAAGAGGCCCCCAAGAGGCCCCCAGGAGGCCCCGAGAGGCCCCCGGCGGGCCACCCAGAGGCCCCCAAGCAGCATCCCTGATCACTCTGGCCCACAACCAAAGCAATTAAATACAGCCAGTGATGCACGCACAGAAAGGCACGGTGGCGGGATGGGTCGGCAACCCTGATCACTCTGGCACAAGATGCACAAAAGGCACGGTGGCGGGATGGCTCGGCAACTCTGATTACTCGGCAACCCTGATCATGGGATGCACGCACAAAAGGCACGGTGGCGGTGATCCCTGATCACTCTGACCCACAACCAAGGCACGGTGGCGGGATGGGCCAAAGGCAATTAAATACATCCAGTGACGCACGCACATACGAAAGTGAATGCGAATGCTCGTTTGCAACTCCACGCGTAGCAGTATGAACCTGCAAACAAACTTTCGAAACTACAATACACATAGCGATCCCACTGCGCCCCAAGGGTAACAATCCAACGGCCTGGCTGCTCAAATATCTGATCAACTGTCTACGGGCCAAGCTCCTTCCGCGAGAGAAGCTCGCGCCACCATGGTACCGTTTGAATGCCAACGTGGATGATGCGGAAGACTTTTCATCTCGCTGCTCACAGAGTCATCGCAAACAGCATGCCCGCCTCGGGCGGATCGATGGTGTCAGCGAGCACCTTCGCCCACTGGTTCGCTGGGGATATCTCCTGCCGCGCGGGGACCAGCGAGGTATATACGAGCAGGGGGCACAGAGTCGGGGAAACGCAAGACTCGAGCTCGGGAGAACCGGGTCGGCCAGACGGGCCATCACGAAAATGACGAGACCGAGTCTGACATTTGACGCGAGCTCCCGCTGCAAACACTCCAGGAAAACTGGACCGTCAAAAAATCAAGGGCGGGCTCGTCAAAAAGCGTAGGCCAACCCGAGTTCCGGCGCACTCGAGTCTTACGTTTCTGACAGAGGAGGGGGGACTGGGGGTGAGGGGAAGGGGGGATCGCCATGATCATTATCATGAGTTGATATTAGCATCATGATGATGCTGCTGATGATGATGCTGATGATGATGCTGATGATGATGATGATTATGGTGATGCCGATGCTGCTGCTGCTGATGATGATTAACTATGCTGCTGTTGCTGATGATGATGATGATTATGCTGATGATGCTGATGCTGATGCTGATGGTGATGATGATGATGATGATGATGCTGATGCTGATGCTGATGATGATGCTGATGATGCTGATGATGATGATGATGATGATGATGATGATGATGAAAGAACGTGCGAATCATCAGCGGCCGCCCCTCTGGCACACGCTGAGGACCTCGGGGACACGCCACGCCTTCCCGGCGCCTGGGGCGAGCTCACTGCACCTGAGCCGGCGAGGTGGGAGCACCGCGATCCCAGGCGACGCCGCGTCCTGCGACGCAGGGCGACTGGAGACATCGCCAGCCCAACCGAGGCCCCTGGAGCCCTACAGGGGGCCTCAACGCACCAGTGCCGCGAGGCGACGAGGGAGCCTCGCGAAGGCCAGCTGCGGATGCCTCAACTCTGAAGGGGCCCTGTGACGCCCAAACAAACACACACAAATCAAGAGATCCCCCACATTTTCCCGTAGTTTCTGGGCTTCTGTCTCCCCCCATCACTGCCCATCTTTTCCCACACTTCCCTGGGGATCGACGATTGATTGTGTCTGTGTGCTTTTTGCCCTCCTGCAACTCGCCCCCCCCTGGGGTCTTCCGCGAGGGAGACGGCCACCGGCCACCCACGCCTGGACGGCCGGCCCCGCCAGCCCAGGCCCTCCCTGTGCCGCGGATATGCCCGGGACCTGCCGCGGTCCCGGACGCCCCGGCCGCTCACGGGAGGCCTGCGTGCGGTATCCGAACGCTTATGGCGGGCGTGTCCGCCTACAGGGGGATTTTCGACGAAAAACAAAACATACCCCCAAAATGCACCCAAAAGGCCAAAAGATGTTCAAAAAATTAGTCCCCAGACTATGTTTGGACTATGTTTTGGCTACTTTTGGGGTATGTTTGATTTTTCATCGAAAAGCCCCCTGTAGGGGGACAGGCCCGACATAACCGAACGCCTGAACGGCATCGCCTTTGTGGCACAGAAGTGCCCAGCCTGCTCGAAGGACCTTCTCCGTAGACGAGCGCGATCCCCTGCTCGCAGAGTGACTGCTCGCAAGCGCCGCTTGCGTCCGCCGCGGGGGCGAGGCGAGCATGTGCTCTTCGGGCGTTTGCGAGTAGGCGCTTTGCGAGCAGTGGAACGCGCCCAGGTGACTCCAGGTGGCCCGACGCCAGCAGGGCCCCCGCGGCGCCAAGCCACGGCCGCACGGGCGAGGACGAGCCCGTCGGGGGGGGGGCCAGCTTGCGCCAGCGAAAGATTGGACTGACGAAGGACCCAACCGTATGCAGTTGCGATTACCGCAGTGTGGGTACCCGTTTCGGTGGAGCTCCCGATGGGGCCACGAAACGTGTGAGGGGTGTGCCGAAATGGCCCGAGGCCGCCCTACGGACCCTACCACCGGCGCCCTCGGTGGAGCTCCCTATGGGGCCACGATGCCCGTGAGGGGTGCGCCGAAATGGGGCGGGGCCGCCATGCGAACCCTGCCACTGACACCCTCGGTGGAGCTCCCCACGGGGCCACGATCCTCGTGAGGGGTGTGCCGAAATGGAGCGGGGCCGCCATGCGAACCCTGCCACTGGCGCCTTCGGTGGAACTCCCCACGGGGCCACGATCCTCCCCTATGGGGCCACGATCCTCGTGAGGGGTGCGCCGAAATGGCCCGAGGCCGCCATTCGAACCCTGCCACTAGTGCCTTCGGTGGAGCTCCCTATGGGGCCACGATCCTCGTGAGGGGTGCGCCGAAATGGCCCGAGGCCGCCATGCGAACACTGCCACTGGCGCCTTCGGTGGAGTTCCTTTGGGGCCACGATCCTCGTGAGGGGTGTGCCCAAGTGGCCCGAGGCCGCCATGCGAACCCTGCCACTGGCGCCTTCGGTGGAGCTCCCTACGGGGCCACGGTCCTTGTGAGGGGTGTGCCGAAATGGCCCGAGGCCGCCATGCGAACCCTGCAACTGGCGCCTTCGGTGGAGCTCCCTATGGGGCCACGATCCTCGTGAAGGGTGTGCCGAAATGGCCCGAGGCCGCCGTGCGAACCCTGCCACTGGCGCCTTCGGTGGAGCTCCCTATGAGGCCACGAAGTGCTGTACTGGGTGGGTGAAACGCAGGGAGGAAGGATGAGGGGGGAGGGGGAGAAGGGAGGAAGGAGGAACGCGGGGACCGTCTCTTCACAACGAATGCCCAACACCACAGGATGGTTGGGAAAAAGCATCGGCGCAGACTTGTTGCCTGCACGCAGAGTGTCGGGGAGACGTAGGATTCGGGTTCCAGGGACTCGGGCTGGCCTGACAGGGCCACCATGCAAATGACGAGACCCACTCTGAAGCTTGACGCGAGCTCCCGCTGCAGACATCCCACGAGAACTGCACCGTCGACATCCACGGCGGGCTCGTCGAAAAGCGCAGGCGCACCCGAGTTCCGGCGCAGGCGCACCCGAGTTCCGGCGCACTCGTGTCGTACGCTTCCACGAGAGTGACCCCTACCCTCGGGGACTTTTGCTTGGCGTGCCGAGGCGGCGACCCCGCCGACCTGGCTGCGCGACGCGCTGAGCCAGAGCTCCTGCGTGCCAGTAAGCCTGGCCTGCGTGCCCCAGCCTGGCGCCGCAGCGCCACCCCCGAAGGCGCCGCGCACCAAAGGTCAATCCTGGCGAAGACGCGCTCTCACACGTGGGCGAGCTCGACCCGGGGCCCAGCATCTGTCGGCCGGGCCCGCTGGGGACGGCTCCTGGGTGGGCAGTTTTGCCATGCGTGCAGCGCCATTGGGTACGCGCCTCCATGTGTAAGTCGGGCGTGTCCCCCTACAGGGGGATTTTCGACGAAAAATAAAAAATACACCAAAAATAATTAAATAATAATCCAAAAATAGTCTGGGGACTATTTGGGGGTATTGTTTGGCCTTCTTGGGGCATTTTTTGAGTATTTTTGTCTTTTTCGTCGAAAATCCCTCTGTAGGGGAACACGCCCGACATAACTCCATGTGTCCGTGCCTGGTGCCCCTGGATGGCGCCGGGCAAGCCGGGCCTGTTGCAAATGCGCGAGTGCCTGGCAGGGGCCTGCCCGAACGGGGCGCCCGAGGCCCGCCGCCCACGAGGCGGCTCCTCCACGCGCACGGCGCTCGCGTCACCACGGCGGCAGACGCTCCTGGCCCCGCGCTGCGGCGCCAGCCGCACGCGCGAGCTCCAGGAGGAGGAGCTCCAGGAGGAGGAGGAGGAGGAGGAGGAGGAGGAGAAGGAGAAGGAGAAGGAGGAGGAGGAGGAGAAGGAAGAGGAGGAGGAGGAGGAGAAGGGGCGAATGGTCGGGGGTATTGATATTTCGGTGAAGCATGGCAGGGGGACGAGCTCCAGCCGCGCGCGCGAGCTCCAGGCCCGCCCTCGGCCGCTCCGCATCGAGCAGTCCGCAGCGCGACCTCGGCGGCCTCGCGAGAGAAGGCGCCGGGGCGCTTGCGCACGGCCTGCCGCCCGCTCGCGCGCGTCTCGCCCGCGGCCCGCAGGCCTCGCGGTGGCCGCGCGCAAGTGCAGCGGCTCTCGGACGGACGCGGTGTGCCCGGCGAGCGTCAGGTGGCCTCCTCCCCCTCCTCCTCCTTCTGCTCCTCCTCCTCCTCCTCCTCCTCCTCCTCCTGCTCCTCCTCCTCCTCCTCTTCCTCCTCCTCCTCATTGGGCCTCGTGTTTAAGCTTTGTGTGAACTTCGTTTGAGCTCTGTTGGAGCTTTGTGTAAGCGTTGTTTGAGCTTTGGATGCCGACGACGGCGACGACGACGGCGGCGGAAACGGCGACGACGACGGCGATGGCGACGAGGCGGGCAGGGCATCAAATGCAACTTTCACTCGGTGATGGGACGCGAATTGGGGAACATATATCACAACAACCAGGGGCGCCGTTCGGGCGGGCGGTACACTATGCTATTCATTCAGCGATGGGGCGTTCAGTCGGGCGGGCGGGCGGAACATTAAATGCAACCTTCACTCTGTGACAGGACAAGGCTGGGGTAACACATACACAACCACCGAAGACGCCGGTCGGGCGGGTGGGACATTAAACGAAATGTTCACTCAACGATGGGGCGCCATCATCATCATCATCATCATCATCATCATCATCATCATCATCATCATCATCATCATCACAATCATCATCATCACCACCACCACCATCATCATCATCATCATCATCATCATCGTCGTCGTCATCATCATGGTCGTCCTCAGAACTGTCATCATCGCCGGCAGCCCAGGACGGCCTCAGAGGTCCTCCGTAGTTTCCGGGGGGGGGCTAGGCACCCGTGCAGAAAGGGCGACGTCATGCGCCACCACTCGAAAAGCGCCTCACTTGCCGCACTTGACGAGCCCGCCCGCCCGGGCTCGAGCTTTGTTGGAGCTTTGTTTTGAGCTTTGTTGGAGCTTTGTTGGAGCTTTGAAGAACTTCATGAACCCGATGTCCTCCAAAGTATCTCGATATCCCAGTGAACATCGCGAGGCCACGACACCGATACTTATATTTGCTTAGAGCGATCCCTCCCCGCCGCAACGTTCGGCGTTCGCCCCCTACGGTGCGCGCGCCTATTGAAACGATGCGTGCAACAAATGGCAGATGAGGCGAAGAACATGGTGGCGGAGGAAGTGCTGACAAATATCGACTCCCAGCCCGGACTGACTCCCGATATCGAGGGACCGGGATATTGGGATATCGAGTCCCAGCCGGACCCGACCCCCGATATCGAGATATCGAAATATCGGGTCCTCCAGGCCCCCACCAGGACGCCTTGCGACCACAATGGTAATGTTTATCACGCGGCGTCGATACATTAGCCCGCCTGGTAATCTGGCTGGTTCACACCTGCTGTGGGCACGTACCTGGTGCAACAGTCTAACCCTTTGGCGCTCTCTGGTTCCATGCTCAAGCTCTTCGGCCTCAGCGGATGCATCGTCCCGAGATTGGTATTGAGTCACGTCGCAGTGTGCGTCTTGTCAGGCGTGCGCGTGGGCCAGGCAATGGGGAACGTCGGCGGTCTAGCCGTGGTTATTTCAGAGCGCGTCATGCTGTTCGCCGTGCTGTTCTGGCACGATGCTTGCCTCGGCGTCGTGCTGGTCATCCTGGCCCTTGCGCGCGTGTGCCAGTCGAGAGGGCTGGAATGCGCAGTGCTGTGGATTCTAATGCACTTGGCTGCAGGCCTCGTGTCGGGCGTGGCGAACTTATGCGGCGTGACCGTGGCTATGTTTTCACTGGCAGCTGTCTACCACGCCATTCCTTTCAGCCGCCGCACGCTCTGGAGGTAAACTGATGCTTGCGCAATGATTTGGAGCTCCCTCTCGCGGGTCCTCCCTGAAGAATTGCCGGTATGCTGTGGAGCCCTGGGCGGCACAATGACCTTTGTGCACAGCGGTGCTTTGAAGCCATCGGCCTCGGCCGTCGTTGGCAGCGCCACGCTGAGCATTGTGCGCTGGAGTCATTAGCCTGGAGCGTAATCAGACCAGCACCAGCACCGCCACCACCACCACCATTATCATTATCATCATCATCAGCAGCAGCAGGAGCATCATCCTCATCATCCTCATCATCATCATCATCATCATCATCATCATCAGCATCATCATCATCAGCATCATCATCATCAGCATCATCATCATTACCATACTCACCATCACCATCATCATCGACATCAGCATCATCATCACTATCAGCATCCACCTCACCATCATCATCATCATCATCATCATCATCATCATCATCATCATCATCATCATCATCATCATCATCATTAACGTCACCCTAACAGTCATCAGCATCATCATCCTCCTCCGCATCATCATCATACTCCTGATCATATCAATCATCCTCCTCTTCCTCCTCTTCCTCATCGTCATCAACAGCATACTCATCATGATCATCAGCATCATCATCCTCATCAACATCATCAAAATCATTGTCAGCATCATGATCAATACCAGCATCATAATCAGCAGCATCAGAAGCAGCATCGTCAACATCACCTTCATCAGCAACTTCATCATCATCATCATCATCATCATCATCATCATCATCATCATCATCACCATCAGTATCATCATCACCATCCTCATCATCATCATCATCAGCATCATCATCATCATCGTCAGCAGCATCATCATCGTCAGCATCCTCATCATCATCATCAGTATCAGCATCGTCATCAGCATCATCAGCAGCATCACCGTCATCGCCGTCGTCATCATCATAAGTATCCTCATCAACGGCATCATCGTCATCTTCATCATCAGCAGCATCGTCATCAGCATTATCGTCGTCGTAGACGTCATCGTCATGAGCATCATCATCATCATCATCATCCTCGTCATCCTAAGCATCATCGTCAACATCAATCGTCATCATCGTCGTCATCATCATTGTTATCATGATCAGAAGTATAAGCAGCATCAGCCGCAGCAGCATCAGCATCACCACCATCATCATCATCATCATCATCATCATCATCATTATCATCATCATCATCATCATCATCATCATCATCATCATCATCATCATCATCATCATCATCGTCATCGTCATCGTTACCATCATCATCAGCATCACCATCGTCATCATCATCATCATCATCATCATCATCATCATCTGCATCATCACCATCATCATCATGACCATCATCATCAAGATCAGAATCACAATCGTCATCATCATCATAAACATCATCAGCATCATCATCAGCATCGTCATCATCATCATCATCATCAGCAGCAGCATCGCTTTCATCATCATCATCAGCAGCAGCATCAACATCAACATCATCATCATCATCATCATCATCATCACCATCGCTTTTAACGCCACCGGCATCTTTGTCGCAATCGTGTTCACGATTATCATCAGCAGCATTATTCTCGGCAGTCAGTATCCTCCGCACCCTGCTCATCCCACGCCTCTTCCCCCTCCTTCTCTCTGCCCCGCCCCTTCCGCTCCAAATCCCGCAAATGACCGTCATCCTCGTCCTCCTGCTCAGCATTATCCTCCTCCCCCGTTATCCTCCTCCTCGTCCTCTCCCTGCACCTGCTGCTGCTGCATCTCCGCTTCCTCCTCCTCCTCCTCCTCCTCCTCCTCCTCCTCCTCCTCCTCCTCCTCCTCCTCCTCCTCCCCATGCAAGCGCCACGTTGGCAACCGCGGGAGGCTCGAGCTTCAGGCGGGCGCTCCACGGGGCGGCGCAGCTTGCCAAGCTCAGCAGGCGACGGCTTCTGAAGATCAAGCGCACTCTGGGTTTCTTAATAAGCGTACTCCAGATTTCGTAATAAAAGGGAGGGGGTCTGGACCCTCCAAGACAAGCCATTTCAGACCCCCCCCCGTGGGAGAACCCTCCAAAACGTCGTCCCCAGACCCCCCCAGGCCCTCCAAGATGGCCTGGAAGAGACCCCCGCCGAAATGAGACCCCCTCCCTTTTATTACGAAATCTGGAGTAGGGGGTCCCCCCCCCCGACGGGGGCCAATCTCGCCTCGTCGTCGCGCCGCGACGGGGTCGGAAAGCCTTCGGCGCGCCGTGGCTGCCCGCGACGGGGGTCGATGTGGGGCTGTCGGCGGGGGTTTCGCTCCCCCGACGCTTATGAAGAAACTCGAAGTGCACATCGCTGTGGAGCAGGCAGCGCATCTGAGAAACACTACGAAGTTGCTGGTATTAACGAAGGTGGGCTTCGCTGCGACACTAACAATCAAAATCCTTTGATATGGAAAATGAATGGATACATGATCAGTACATTTCCCTGGGTTGCAGAGACAACGGAGGGCGAGCACGGAGGCGTACACGGCGGGGGGGCCCGCGGCCGTTTTACGTCCGCTGCCAGCTTCCGCCGACCGTCCCCTCCTCCGATCCTCACAAACAGGACGTTCACGCAAATCGGTCGGGACGGCTCACGGCGACCCGGGCAGACGACACCGACAGGAAGCGAGCCGGGCGTGTTGTGCGTCCCAGAACGGTGCGTTGACAAGCAGCGCGGTGACCTCGAAATCCCCACAGACCTCACCCGCACGGTGTGAGGGACCCTGGAGGCCCCAGCCGCCCGAGACCACCCTCGTGGAACGACCCGGGTCCCCACAGCGCGCGGTGACCCTGAATCCCCACTGACTCACCACGCGGTGTGGTCAGCACACCGTTTGGGCGTCGCTTCCCGGGGGGGGGGCGATCAACGGGTGATGGGACAAAAGTGCACCTCTTGGGCCCTGAAGGCCCCCTGTCTGGGCCCTGAAGAGCCCATCTGGGAGCCCTGAGGGGCCCCTTTTCTGCAGCCATCGCTGCCCCCCCATTCATCGTCCCCCCCCTACGCGACGCCCAAGCCGTTCGTCGGCGGTGGACAAGCCTCACTTTCGCAAACCTCCCCTTTGTGAAAACGGCCTGGGGCCGAGAAACCGACGGCCCTGGACCCGCAGAAATATCACGGCGGCGACGCCCTCTCGCGAACCCAAAACGGCCAACTCCTTAATCGACGTGTCAGGGTAGGAGGTCTATCCACCTCCGAGGGACGGGGGGGGGGACGGGGGATTGAGAGCGGCCGCCGTGGCCGCCGTCGCCGGGAGCGCCGAGGGACACCCCTCCTCCTCCTCCTCCTCCTCCTCCTCCTCCTCCTCCTCCTCCTCCTCCTCCTCCTCCTCCTCTTTCTCCTCCTCCTCCTCCTCCTCCTCCGCCTCCTCCTCCGCCTCCTCCGAGTTGGGGGCCCCCGGGAGCCGTGTCCTCCTCGGACGGCGGCGACCCCGGGGCGCCCACCAGCGGCGCCAGCGGCGGGACCCGCACCTGCGGGCGAGCCGGAGAGGGGGGCGGCGACGAGGCGGCAGCGGCAGCAGGACGAGGCGAGGAGGAGGAGGCGGAAGAGGACGACGACGACGACGACGACGTCGACGACGACGACGACGACGACGACGAGAAAGTGGAGGACGACGGCTACGACGAGAAAGTGGAGGGCGACGACGACGGCGAGAAGGCGAGGAGGAGGAGGAGGAGGAGGAGGCGAGGAGGAGGAGGAGGAGGGATAACGCTCCACGCTGCTGCATTAAGTCTGCGCAAAGTCAAAAAGGAGGAGGAGGAGGAGAAGGAGAAGGAGGAGGAGGAGGAGGAGGAGGAGGAGGAGGAGGAGGAGGAGAGAAGGAGGAGGAGGAGGAGGAGGAGGAGGAGGAGGAGGAGGAGGAGGAGGAGGAGAGAAGGCTGACGAGTTGCCGTAGCGCACAATAGGGTGTCGCGAAGGGGGGCTGCCTTCTCAGAAGGCGGCGGGCTTCTGAGCCAGCAGGGGGCGCCTTACAAGTCCTCCCGGCTTCCCAGAGGCCTTCTGAGAAGGGCCCAGAGCGAACTCGCACGTAGGACCCTGGCCTTGAGAGAAGGGCACACTGGAGTGAAGAGGAGGACGAGGCGGAGGAGAAGGAGGAGGACGACGACGACAACAACGAGGAGCAAGTGGGCAGCGCGGCTTCGAAAAATGACTGTCGCGAGCACCAGCCATTTGCACCCTAGCGGAGGCCAGAAGAAGCAAACAAACAACGGCGGCAAAAGGAGGGGGAGAGGAGGGAAGAGGACGACGAAATGCACAGAAAACAAGCAGACGAGACCCCAGACAGCGCGGCGCAGCGAGAAAGACTGGAAAGCATAATGTAGAAAAGGGGGCTCGGGAAAGTTACCCGCCTCTTGATCGTTTCAATGTTTCCCCAATGTCGTCGCATCCATGAGACGACGATGGCCGCGCTCGCGAGGACTACGAACCGCCATTGCCCCGCAGTGTGCATCGAAGGAGCGCCTGGCCAGCGATTCATACATCACAAGGAGGAGCAGGAGCAGGAGGAACGGAGCGAGAACAAAAACAGCTGCTACAATAATCAACCAAGCAGAAGCCAAGCGCCGTCTGGACGCGTGGTGACCGTCGACAGCGTGCCTGCAACATTGCGTCGCTCCTTGCATGGCACATTCGCCGGCGGTGTGAGCGATCCGATTACGTTCCCCACGTGGACGGCTGCGGAAACCCTGAACTCAAAAAATCAGCACCTCTTCGAGGGACGATGCTTACATCCGACAACTTGAGCCGGCCTTCCGTTTGCGCGGACTACTCCGTCTTGTCGCTGGAAAGTACGTGGTGGACCACATGAAAAGAACACCAACGAAACGGTCGTCTCGGCGCGATCCAACGTCATGCAAGATCGGGGCCCCAGGAGGTGCAGGTAGACGGGCGATGCGAAGCCGTCGAGAGCTGCAAAACTTCGCCCTCGAGCACCCCCACCTCTGCGAGGGTGGCACAGTGAGGAAGCCAGCGGCGGAGCCGTCTTCGTTGTAATTCCGCCCGCTTCCGACGGCCTTCCGCCTCCTTCGGCCAATGAAGAGGTGCCGACCTCTCTAAACCTCTGGCGAGGCCTCTTCTGGAACGCCTCATGTAGACCCCGTGATTCTAAGCAGCCCAACAGGGCAGCTTTGCATCGCTGCGGCATCTGCATGCGCTCAGCATGCCTCGCCTCCGGCGTGTCAGGCCGCAGGAGACGACGCCGGCCTCCCTGCCAATGATGCGCAGCCCGCACGGTGCGCGATGCTGTCCCAGGATCAGTCGGCATCGAATCGGGAAGTCGGATCGAATCGGAATTGAGCGAGCAACGACGTGTGTACATGTACGCCCTCCGCGGTCTTGCGTGCACGAACCCCAACGTTCAAACGCAATTCGGCGGAAACAAACCGCGTACATGTACATATGTTCTTGACCTCTGAGGAATGCTCGTCGGATCGGGCTGCATCGGCACGGAGCCGAGCTCGACTCGAATCGGCTACGCCAGGATACACAGAGCCCAGCCGTGGACGCACAGGGCCCTACCGGATCGGCCGGGAATCGAGATCGGATCGGACCGAACCGACCAGAATACAGTCGGGCGTTGACCTAAGGAACCCGAAATAAGGAACGAGGCCCTTTTTTCCATGAGTTGAACTTCGATCTCCCATCGAAACCACAAGGAAAACCTGAGGCAAGCTGTGAAACAACTAAGGAACACGGAGCCCCTCCCCACCGAACAGGGTTCCTTCTTCAGCGCCCCGACTCCAGATGTCGAAACGCATCGAAGGGATCGACAAGGACCCCGTGCCCAGACGGCGCTGGCACGAGCGCTCGGCCTTGCAGCGGCGAGGCGTGCACCAGCGGTTCCAGACCCCGGCCCCACAGGGCGGCCGCGGCTCGAGGAGAGCCGCTCGCTCTCCAACTCCAGGGCGCCGCGTGCCGTTCGCGAGGCGGCCTCGGCGACCGCGCCGGCTGCCGTGTGCCGGTCACCTGGCCCAGCTGGGGGCTCTCAGGCAGGAGTCCCAGCACTCCGTGTGCCAAGGGAGAGGCAAGGCTTCGCCGCCTCGCCCTGGAACCCGCCAAACAGGGGCCTCCTGTCCGTTCCCATGCCAGCGCCGGTGCACAGCTTCTCTCTCTCTCTCTCTCGCTCTCTCTCTCTCTCTCGCAACCCCAAGATGACTGCTGTGCGCCGCCAGCCTCTCCTGACTGGCCCCCAGCTGCTGCGCGCGCGATCTCAGGTACCCTCCGTCGTGATGCAAGACGCAGTCGTCGTTGGATTTGGGCCCCAGAAACCATGCGGTGACGGACCGCGTGGTGACCTCGGAATCCCCAAAGGCCTCACCGCTCGGTTTTGGAGGCCTCGCAGGCCCCAGTCACCCGAGACGGTCCCGGAGGACGACCCGAGTCCCAAAACCGCGCGGCGACGCCAAATCCCAGCTCACTCACCACGCGGGGCCCTCTCCGAACGGCGGCGACTCCGGAGGCGCCGACCAGCGGCGCCAGCCATGCGCCCCGAGGCAGCCCAAGGAGGGTCCAATACCACAGTGGAGCCCCGAGGGCGGCAACACCTCAGATGCGCCACACCGGCCAACTCATCCGACCTGTGGTGAACGCCAGGTCGGGCGTGTCCTCGTACAGTCGGATTTTTGACGAAAAACGAACAATAGTCGAAACATCTATACATATATATATATATATATATGTATGTATGTATGTATGTATGTATGTATAACAAGAAAAAACGGTCGAAAAGGGACAGGCCCGACGTCAGGTCAACGAGGAGGCCTGGTGGTCCGTCAGCCGGGGGGCAGCCCGGCCGATGACAACCGGCGGTGTACAAAACTCCCTTTAGTAAACCTCCCCTCAGTGAAAACGGCCTGGGACCGAAACCGACGGACCTGGACCCGCAGAACTGACGGCCGCGACGCCCTCTCGCAAACCGAACACGGCCCATTCCTGGATCGACGCGTCAGGGCAGGAGGTCTGTCCACCTCCGATGACAACCCTCCATGCGGCCAGAGGAGCGCTCGCTCGCCGCGCGGCGGCGGCGGCGGCCCCGGCGACGCACGAGCCGCACGCCCTGCCTGCGGGGGGATAGCCCCGCCGCTCTGCCTCGCGGGCGGGCGGGCGGGTCGGGCAGGCGCGCGGGCCCCGGCGGCGCGCCCTCGCGGGGGCCCCTCCGCAGCGCGCCCCGCGGCAGCGGCAGGCCCGCGCCGCCCCCGGCTCCGTTGGAGCCGGGCTGCGACGCCGGCCTCTGCCGCTGCTTTTGCTCGCGGCGTCCGCGCCGTCGCCGTGGGCAGCAGGGAGGAGGAGGAGGAGGAGGAGGAGGAGGAGGAGGAGGAGGAGGAGGAGGAGGAGGAGGAGGAGGAGGGCTCAGCAGCAGCAGCGGCGGACGGCTCAGGCGGGCCAGCGCTCGCGAAGAGCGCGGCCGACACCGCCGGGCGAGCCACCGCCGCCGCCGTCCGCCGAGGCGCGCTCGCTTGCACCGCTGCGCAGGCCGCTGAGGCGCTCGGGGCCTTCGTGCGCGAGGGGGCCCGCGGCGCTGCCCCCGCGCGCCACGTCGCGAGCGCTCGGCGCCAGCACACGCTTCAGGACCCGATTTGTTCTCGCTCCCCTCCCCTCCCCTTCCCTCGTCCACGCCTGCTTCCCCTTCTCCCTCCTCGAGCGGCACTGGCGGCGCGGCGCCAGGGTTTTTGCTTGGCGTGCCCACAGTGGCGACCGGCGCAAAATCCAGGCCGAAGCAAGGCTCGTGCTCGGTTGCTGCGCGGCGGGTCTGCACGGCTGGCGCTCATGACGAGAACCCCCTTTAGTAAAACGTGTCGGGGATGGACTGAACCCCCTTTAGTAAAACGTGGTTTCGTGAAAACGACCTCGCCCCCAAGAAACCAAGAAATCGCCCCCAAGAAAATCGCCCCCAAGGAACCAAACATGACCTCATGCACGCCCTGCGGGCTCGGGTGGGCCCTCACGGGCGGGACCCCTGGCGGAACGCAGGCGCAGGGGCAGGGGCCCGCAGCGCGACGCAAGGAGCAGAAGCGGATGCCCACCGCAGGAGTAGTCGGCCACCTCCCCGGCCAACCCACAGCATGGTCGACTCAAGCCGTGGCCCAGCCTCACTCGGGCCAGACCCTCCTCCTCTTCCATCCCTTTTCCTTGCATCCATGTCGCACCACTTGACGTGTCCGTAGGGTGGGCTGGGCGTTTCGCCTGAGACTTCCTCACCATATCTGATCCTGCAGCTAGGACTCTGAAACAGTTTCACGGACGAAAGGGTTATTTTCAAAATGGAGCTCTCAGGAGCTCCCGACGTCTTCCCCGGGTGCAGTTTCTTGTGCAGTGCGTCCCGGAGCAATGTTTAGAGGCCTCCTCGATGGAGTCCGAGTAGACAGGATCAGAGGATCGCGCCGCATCGCCGATACATCGGCGAAGCATCGTCGATGCACGGCGACGAGCCAGCAATGCAACGGCAATGCATCGTCGACGTCGGCGATGCATCGGCGACGTGGACGTGAAGCAAATCGGGCTCCGCATCGAGAACGCATCGCCGATGCATCGGCTATGCGGCGCGATCCTCCGACCCCATCTACTCCGACCCCGCTTAGGAGGCCTAGAATTAAGTCGGGCCTGTCCCCCTACAGGGGCATTTTGGACGAAAAAAAATACCCCCTAAATACTCCAAAAAAATCAAAAAATACTCCAACAATAGTCCCCAGACTATGCTTGTATTATTTTTTGTTCGTCGAAAATCCCCCTGTAGGGGGACAGGCCCGACTTAAGGATAGCACCGCCGCCCTCGTCAGAGAAGGCATTCTCCAGGGCCTGACGTCCGCCGCATCAAGCATACGGAGGCACCCTCCACAAGGATTGCTCCTGGGCCGCAGGGGAGAGCGGCGGTGCATGAATCACCACTGGGAGCCAGCGACTTTATACACGGGGAGGTACGTGCAAAATTCGTACAGTCAGAACGCGTATGAAGGACGGGTGACAAGGACGCAAGACCCTTGGAGGCCGAAGTTGGGTTCTTTAGGGCGGCGGGCGACCAGTGATAATGGCAAGGACGGGCCTCAGAGGCAAGGACACAAGGGTACCCTAGGCCCTGGATGAAGGCGCGCGTCCTTACTAGGCGCGCTGACTGTAGTGCATGAAGCTTTCTGGGTACGTTGCTTCACCGACGCCCCTCGGGTAACCAAGCATTCCCGACCATAGAACATGGCTAGGATCGGGATAAATCGCTCCAGAGCGTTCCGGAGCGCTCTCAGAGCGTTCCGGAACGCTCTGGAGCGGCCGCGGCGCCCAATACATCCTCCAAACCCGCCGATTCTCAGAGAATTCGAATTATCCCGACCCGATTTTGTCCCGACCTTCGCGTCGTTTTAGGCCGTGCCCCCCGCCCTGAAGCGCTGGCCCCCGCACCCCTCGCAGCCCGGCCGGCGCGCCTGCTCCTCCGGCGGCGGGAGCAGCAGCTCGTCCGCGGAGTAGCCCAGCGGGCTGGAGAGCTGCGCGTGGGGCCAGCCGGCGTCCGAGACCTGCTCCGCGTCGCGCGCGGCCTCGGCTGCGGCGAGGGGCCGAAGAATTGCAAAAAAACCGAAGGATTGCAAAAAGGATTGCAAAAAGGATTGCAAAAGAAAACCCGAAGGATTGAAGGATTGCAGAAAAAAAGGATTGCAAAAAAACCCGAAGGTTTTGTTGCAATCCTTCGTTCAAGATGCGGGGAGAGAGGGCGAGGACGGCCAAGAGCCTGCGCACACGGCGTGCGGCACGCTGCGGTGGGGGCGTCGGACGAGGAGGCCCCGGGCCAGGAGTCCAGGGTCTGAAGGTCTGGTGGGGCATCGACGGAGGCCTGGCCATGCACATCACCGCCGCCCTCATCAGATACAGAGTATCCTCATCCCCTGACGTCCTCATCATCGCAGCCGCCCCCCTCCTCTGGCACGCTCGCGTTACGAGAGAAGCACGGAGGGTGTTCGGCGATCCTCGGCTTGCGGAAGCCAACACCTGGCCGTGGGCGCCGCCAGGGGATCTCGCGGGCGCTGGGGGGGGGGGGGGGGGGGGGGGGGGGGGGGAGGAGGAGGAGGAGGAGGAGGAGGAGAGGAGGAGGAGGAGGAGGAGGAGGAGGAGGAGGAGGGGAGGAGAGAAGGCCGCGGAGGACCGCCAGAGACCGACGCGGGAGGAGAACCGTGCCCCCGGGAAGAGGTCCAGACCTCTGGGCAGCCACGCCGTGGAAAATCACGACGTCGGATGGGCGAGGCGCCCCTCGTCGGGGGTGGACAGGACCCCCAACAGTGACACGCCGATTCGTGAACTGTCCGTTTTCGGTTTTCGAGAGGGCGCCGTGGCCGTTATTTTCCAGGCTTGCGCCCGCCAGGTTTTGGCCTCAGGTCGTTTTCACTAAACCACGTTTTACTAAAGGGGGGTCTGTCCATCCCCGACTTCGTAGGGAAAGAAGAAGAAGAAGAAGAAGAAGAAGAGTACGGCCAGGCTCTCTTGCTGCACGGCGTGCCGCGGCGGCGGCCCAGGCGACACGCGACGCCTCGCGAGCGGATAATGGGGACGTGGATATCGGGTCGGGCGAAAGGGGAGGATAGCAAAGGGGGGCCTGAGCACCAGCTCGCGTAATTAGCTGATTTCCCCGGCGCCTACCGGCGCCGGAGGCGGCTACGTATCGAGGAGTGGGCCTGGCGGCGGGGCCGAAACCAGCTGCATGCAGCAGATTTCGTACCCCCCCTCTTTCTCCTCCTCCCCCTCCCCCCCTCCTCCTCCTCCCTCTTCCTCCTCCTCCTCCTCCTCCTCCTCCTCCTCCTCCTCCTCCTCTTCCTCCTCCTCCTCCTCCTCCTCCTCCTCCATCTCTTCCTCCTCCTTCCCCCTCTCCTCTTCCCCCCCCTTTCCCAATCCCCCCCCCTTTCGCCTGGCCCGAGGATATGCGCGTCGCGCCGAGGCGAGGCGGGCCAGAATTTGCCAGAGACACACGCCGAGCCAGAGTTCCTGACCCTGCCGGGGCCACAGCCAAGCGCGGGAACGTCGGTTTCGGTCGTGGTCATCGTCCATCTCGGTCATCGCCAGTTCGCGAATGGCGACGGTCGGCATGGGCCATGAGAAAGGTTGGCGTCGACAAGACCCCGCGACAGATTATTCAGGGTAATCGCGGCTCTTTTTCTCTCGACACTCGGCCTTGCACCCGCGGCTCCGATCGGGGCACGCGTTCTGTCATGGCGCCCGCGTGGCCCCCGCCTGATCCGATCAGAACCCAAGGAAGCTGTGGCACGGATGCGCGACGCAGGCGCGCGTCTTCCCCTCTCTATCCTCCATCCTCTTTCTCTACAGTTCTCTCCCTCCCCCCTGCCCGCCCCCTCCCCTCTTGAACTCGCCGGCCCAGCGGGCCGGAGCGCGTGCTCAAATCTGCGGAATGAATTCTGACATGTTCTTTGGGGTTCGCTCGCGCGCGCGGCGGCCATTGGGGCGGGGGAGAAAAACAAAAAAAAAAAAAAACGTGCAAGGTCTCGGCAGGGTCCCGGCGAGTCCCGGCCACGGGTGCCGGAACTCCTGGGCGCGGCCCTGGGCGCCCCCGGAGGCGCCACGGCCCCGGGCTCCGAGATGGCCCAGGTTGTACACAGGACGACCGAGGAGACGCCCAAGACGCCCCAGGAGGGCCCGAACAGGCAACAATAATCTGCCTATACGACCACCCTTCGGGTGATAAGGAGGTTGGGGGGGGGGAGAGGGGGGGGGAACCAACATCTGACTCAATCGATCTCATTATCGATCTCACTCCATCCACGGGAACCCACGGGACACCACGGGACACCATGGGACACCACGGGAAACTTGTCGATCTCACTATCGATCTCACTCGACGGGACACCACGGGACACCACGGGTCACCACGGGACACCACGGGACATCGCGGGACACCTGTCGATCTCACTATCGGTCTCACTATCGATATCACTATCAATCTCACTCAGCGGGACACCATAGGACACCACGGGACACCACGTCGATCTCACTGTTGATCTCACTCTCGATCTCACTATCGATCTCATTCAACGGGACACCACGGGACACCTCGGGGTACCGCATCGATCTCAGTATCGATCTCACTATAAATCGCACTATCGATATCACTCAACGAGACACCACGGGACACCACGGGACACCTGTCGATCTCACGATCGATCTCACGATCGATCTCACTCAACGGGACACCACAGGACACCTCGGGGCACCACATCGATCTCAGTATCGATCTCACTATCGATCTCACTATCGATCTCACTCAACGGGGCACCACGGAGGACCACGGGACACCACTGGACACCACAGGACACTTGTCGATCTCACTATCGATCTCACTATCGATCTCACTCAACGGTACACCACGGGCCACCGCGGGACACCGCTAGGGCCACCGCCGGACGAAGGAGAATCATTTGTCTTGACTTAGCCCTAGCAGCGGCGGACACCACGGGACACCACGCGACACCGCGGGATACCGTTAGGGCAACCGCAGGGCGGAGGATAAGCATTTGTCTTGACTTCGCCCTAGCAGTGGCGGGCACCACGTGACACCACGGGACACCGCGGGACACCGCTAGGGCCACCGCCGGACGGACGGAGGAGAATCATGTGTCTTGACTTCGCCCTAGCAACGGCGGGTTCATTCCTTTCCAACCTCCGATATCGCGTGGGTTTCTGAAAGGTTGTGGCGTTGCCGCCTTTTCGAGCCTCCGACCGCCCAGGACGGGCCAAGAGCCTCCAAGGTCGCCCCAAATCAGCCCAAGAGACTCGTTTTTTGATTTGATCCTGGCAATGCCAAACTGTACAATCACTTCCGCCTGCGGGTCTTGACGACCTGGTTCTGGCGGGCCCACTGGCTTCGACCTGGAGGTTGCCCCTTGGCAACCTTCTTTAGCATCCTGGAGCCGTAGTCGCTGAGGTGACCCGCGCACGGATGCTTCAAATTGCGACGGCCCCAAGACGGCCCAAGAGGGCCCAAAGACGGCCCAAGAGGCCTCCCCAAAGGGCTCCAGAAGCTTCCATGCAGGCCCCAAGAGGGGGAAATCCGAACAGACACAGCGAGCCTTCGGGGCCGCCAGCGGGCCCCC